AGTACATAACCTTTTTGCTATGATAAATGATTTAAACTATTTTTATTAAGACTGATTTTTTTTTTATTCAATGGAAAGAATTTACCAAATAAACACATAACATTGTCCCATAGAACAAGGCATTACAATTTCAAAGACCAAACATAGCAGTAAATGCATAAAACAAGCATGCATGAAATATTTCTTCAACATACAAGGATGTTCAGAATTACATAAAAAATCATTTTAATATAATACTGTAGGTCCTTCATAATTGGAGCCAGCAGCTTAGCAGTTCTGAAAATGTGCACTGGACAGCTGATTATGTGATTTTTTGGCAAGCCGGATTGACTATTTCAGCAAAGGCCTGTCTCCTTTTTTTGATCATCCAATTTACTGAATTTTTGATTATGCAGAAACTTTGCAACATATTTCCCTACTGCCTATCACAGGTTCAGTTCAGTTCAGTTTCAGTTGTTTTTGAAAGTTTCATCACATCAGAAAGAGTTTCATACTTATTCAGTGTTATTTGGGGTACTCCTACTGAACTTCTCTGGCTTCTCTTTCATGCAGGCAGGAGCCAGGTACAATCTAGAGAACAGGGGCCAGACAGTCCTACAGCCAACTCAGTTCTGTTCCATGGAGGGACTGACAGACTGAGAACAAGCCTTAACTCAGAGAGCCTAACCTCCTGTCATAGGGGTGTGAGTGACAGATCTTGCAGGTTTTAAAGCTCTCTCAATCACCTGCTGGAGACCTGTGAAAGGCAGCCATCGTGACTCATTAAACCACGAATGAGTCAAACTACTTGTCATGAAGAACCAAAAGCGGAAGAAAATCCAGAACATTTTTTGTCCTTAAGAAACTGGATTTTGGAATTCTTCAGGCTAATGAAACAGTCCGGAAAGGACTGTTTGAAAAATGAATATGATATTGACCAGATCTATCTCATCTTGGGGAGACGGATATTGCTGTTCTTGTCCTTCTCTACAGAGTAAAGACGGTGCTACTTTTTATATTACAAGAAAAGGACAGTTTTATTTGATGACTTCATATGAATATTAGACTTCTGAACCAAAGTCAAGATGGGTAGTTTAGTGAAATGCATTCCCAGAAAACCAATATTGACTGCCGAAAGCGCCTTTCTACTGGCATTTTTTAACGTGATTTCCTTGGTAGGTTTGTTTGACTTTAATTTAACCAGACTTCCAATCCTTTATCTCATTGATTTATTCATTCACACCACAAGAGACAATACTGGCTTTAGGTACTCATTCTACATATATTACTTTTGTTCTCCAAAGTTTACCATTTTGATGTAGTTTTATCAATAATAAAATCATTTCCTTTTTTGTTTCTGCCCTGCAGGACTTCCCTTCAGAAGACCAGTTAATAGTTTGCAAACTTTCTGAAGGAGAAAAACATTTGTTAAACCCACGATGAATCAATCTTTATTTCACCTCTTGCTGGATTCAAATAAAATCAGTTCCAAAAACCAGTCAATATCAATGAAAGAAGTGGAGAAAGAGAGTTTAGCAAAACTTTTACCGCCTGCTGTTATAAAATGGGGCCTCTGTTTTTTAAAGTAAATCAGAGGCTCTGCTGCACCAGTGAGGAGCTTTTTCTTAAAACTCCCAGCCCATTAAGAAGAAAGCTACTGTCAAAATCTCCCATCACCATAAAACAGCACTCTTAAAGGCTACTGGGACCACCTTATTTAAAATTTAATACATGCAAGGCCGTGTCTATACAGCTCTAGCAATCTTAACAGAGCTACTAAAATTTCTGTGACACGCATAAAGTGATTCTATAACAGCCAAAATGAGATATTCAGCAGGGATCAGGTCATCTGAGTGTCTCGCTGGCCTCAGTCTCAGGGCCAGAGCTCCTTTTAAGATAATGTGCTTTCTACAGGACTCACCCACAGCTAGTTCGGATTGCAATAGTACAGTCATGCTGGTGACACCTTGGTAGGTTAGTCACTCCCTGCAGATCTCAGAGATTAGAGATGACCTGAGTGACCTGAAGCACTATGTCAATAAAACTGATTTATACCTGTGAGCTCACAAAAATCATTGCCTTGAGTTTCCATTTTCCCCAACAGCAACCACCACAAAAGTAAATGTTTTCCATGCTCTAAATGTAAAAAAACTGGAGCACTGCATAGATCTTTGTTTGACCTGAATAATACCTTGTCAAAAGAATCCGGCTTTCATCCAGCAGCAATTTCTCCTCTGTACCCACCTCTTAGCTGGCTGAACGTGGTAATGAATTTGCTGTTTATGGCTTTCATTTCATTGTTAGCCAGAGAGATGACATGTATGTTCTCTGTTACGGTCCTTAACAACTTATAGATTCCTTCAGGAAAGCTAATCAGTTTGCATTCTGAAAGATCTGGAAAAAAACACAATATAACTATTTTAATCAAATGATCCAGAATCATTATAAAAGAGAAACAAAATCATACTCGTGTAGAGTCTAAAAAATTATAGTTAATCAACATTAACATACGTTTGGTTAAACTCTTTAAAATCCCTACTTGAAAACACCACCTTTTATCACCAACCCTCCACTGTTTAAATCTCAGCAGTCCTGTTTGATGAGGTAATTACAAACATCCATGTCAACTCCCTGGAACATTTAAAATAATTAAATTCTACATCTAACATAGAGAATCATAATTATTCAGTGTGACCCTCACCAAGAAAAGCAGACTGAAAATGGATGGAAGGATATTGCAATTCGTTTAGTTAATTAACACTCTAACATCCTGCTCTCTTCATTATTTTTAGAATGTCATTGGGACAATAGCAAGAATATTGTCCTGTGACAAATAGGGTAATGAAAAATGTCCTCATGTGTTCTGAATTCTAGTTTGAGGTTTGGTGTTTGAAACTTTGTATGGTGTTGATGTTCTACTCTATATAACTCATGCAATACCTATACTTCAGAAAAATAATTTTGTAAATGCAAAAAAAATGTATTGTAAATCTTGTCAATCTAAATCACACTGTTCAGTGAAAAAAAGAAAAGCTCTCCATGAATCTTTCATGACTATAGAAATGAATATTTAAAAGTTCGATAACACAACTATTCTGGCAAAAGAATGCAATTACAAAGGTCAGTTAATTGCATTATAAGTGCACACATTAAACATTCCTTTAGAACAGAACAAAACTCATCTGCTCTTTGTGTCCTCATTGAATTTGAAATGTTCTCTTTACAGGGTAAAGCTAATTAATCACAGAGTTTAATTTGCAAAAACATTCAAACATATTTAACAAAAACAAAAGCCAGTAGCAATTACAGCCTTGTTTTTTTAATTTATAAATCAATTTTCAGAAAGCGAACACAGTACTTCTGTGACCACAAGGCAAAAAGAAAGAAAACTGACTTCCTGTAAAATAGTACAATGGTCACTAGCCAAAACTCTGAAGCCCAGCTGTTCTGTTTTTTTTATCATGGAAAATCCCAACTTATTCTGGTCTTGTTGTCAGATGAATAACTGTTTCACCTGAAACTGCCTAAAAATTTCCAACAAGTCACAAATCGTTTTGTCTAGGAAGCCATTTATGTATGAAAAAGTAAAACAAGATCATGAATACCATGACCTGTCCTTTCAATAAATTGCTCCACTTATGTGTGGATTTTGGTTTGTACACCCCATGATATTACAATGAAATATATTAGAAAGTATAGAAATTGCCAAATTTCTAAATATTAAACATGTTTTATGTTTGTCCTCTCTGCTTCCCGACCTAAAGCTGACACACTGGGGCAGCGTGGGTGATAGGGGCCTACAGCTGCTAACCTCCAGCCACAGAGCTCTGCAGAAAGACACTCTATGGCCACAAGAGTTAGTATTCAGGTGTTACACTGTATTTAAGGCTAAAATTCACTGCTTGTAATGTCTTGAAAGAAATTGTCTGTACACACTTAAGTAAAATAATTATTCCATTTGAAAGTGTATTCTTTCTTCCTTTTCAGTACAACAGTTTTTTTGTACATAGTCGTACTTCATCTCAACAATTAAAATACATATATATATTTCTGTTTATTAAGTGACCCAAACACCAATGCATGTTATTTTATCTCAGAATTCTTCTGTTCTTCTGCCTGGTGTCTTTCAAAGATATACAAACCCAATAAGTACCCTATATCTTTCATTCCATTCCACTTAATCCCGGTCGAATTAAAAACCTGGACAATACTGCCACCTGCCGTGGAGAAGTAGAACAACACACTTACCCAGAGTGTCTTTTCCCAGCTCCACGGTCTCATTAACCCTCCTGGCGACATTAGCTACAGCTTCTCCCATTCTGACAGCACTCTGGTTAGCAGGCCTGCACAATCATTTAAAAATACAAAGGAGTATCCCCATAGCTCAGTGGTATACAGTTATTTTAATGTACAGTTGCAAATTAATGATCAAACTGGAATATGGAAAATGTGATTGTCTTATTTAAATAAAATGTGACGAGAGACAGGCTTTGATCCCATTAAAGGGAAGGGATCATTTATACTTCCTTTCAACTTATTTTGTCAAGACCAAGGCCAAACCATTACGTGTATGGTGAGTTGAACAAGCATCGCAAAATACACACAGCACTGCAGAATACACAAGCAAGATCAGCTCAGACATGTGGAATAATTAATAACCGGTGAGATGTGATCTCAAAACACATCTGAAAACATACCAAGAGTTCTACATGTGTCAAGGGCTTTGCATACTCCTTTACAAAACTAGAATCAAGATTTGTTGAGTAAAGTTTACATTCCTCATGACACAATATTAGATATAATTAAACGTTTTAAGACAACAGGAAACTTTTCAACTCTGTAATCAGGTGATTGTGTTATATATTATCAGAAAATGTAATATGCAACAGGTTGAAAATCTGAATTATTGCTTTAAATACATGGGTTAAACATACAAGACCATTTTTTTTATTTTTCAAGATTAATTCAAGCGATTATAAAGCACAACTACTCCCCCCACTAATGGTAACAATAACTTGCTTTAAAATATGTTTCATCACATGACAAAAAGCAGTAGTGTGGTGAAGCTATAGAAGAGTGAGCTGACCATACGGACCGCTACAGAGAAAATCCAGCGTCTTCGAATAGTAGCAGCTGCGAACAATCCTAGCAGACCCCTATCTCACTGGCACCTGTGCTGTGCTATACGGACGTCTCGTTATTCCATCAATTAATGCCAGGAACCCCTTGTACACTAAGTAGTTTGACATCTCTTCCTAGCAAACACAACTACAGAGTATAAACACAGTAGTGTACTCAACACGGAAAAAAAAATACAAAAGGAAAAAGTAGAGAGGAAAGTGTGTGATTACATCTATCTTTTCAAGGGCGTTTTGATAACTTAAAAAAATCCTAAATGCAGCCATTCTTTACCGGTATATAAAGACAATACAAAATACTCAGAATCCTGGCAAAGAGAAGAAAGAAGACGAGAGTGCTGTATCAACCAAGTACGGTCAGACTGTGAGTCAGCATCTGTTGCTATTTTGGGTTATGAGGGAGAGCAGCATTCAATAGGCGCAGTTTTTGTTTTTAATATTGGACTCAACTTAAAATCGAACGAGGTTAAGCGTTATTTAAATGTTTTTATTTGACCGGCAACACGTTAACCACAATGCATCAGGACAGGCATTTATTTGCACGAAACCACGCGTGTGCGAACAATGTGAGAGGATCACACATCGTGGCGCTTTGATGTACAGTACGTATTGTGAGTCCACACACCGATATTCCTTTATCAAAGTGTAAATCCTGTGCAGAACCAGGCACAAGGCACCACCGACTTCATAAAAATAAATCACGAAGCACCAAAGTCTGTAAGCTACACAAACGGATTTCTTTGGCTTACAGCATGCTTTCAGGATTGAAAAAAAAACATCCTCTTTTTTTTGGCGGTTTCTTCATTGCAATTTCAACCATGTTATTTTTCACAACCGGTACTGTACTAACAACCCCCCTCTCTGCTGTATTTTACAAACCTCTTACCTCCTTGCAGAAACCCCTGACTTTTCTGCACGGTGAGGTACAGCAGCAGCTGCTGCACTTCCTCATAGCTCCTGGCCAATCACACGTCTACTTCGAGATCACCAAGTTGGAGAGAGAAGTAAGTCAGCCGGGCTAAACTAGCTGCTGGTGATCCCTTGTTTAGTAGTGGTATTTAACCTGATTAGTTCATTGACAACAATGAGAAGGGGTCTCAAGTTAATCTGCTGGAGGCTTCTGTTTTAAACTGAAGTAATGCATCCATACATTTTCTTATCGCTTTATATAGTACAGGTCTGCGGGGGAGTTGTAGTCTATTCCGTCAAGCAACAGGCACAAGGAGGGATACAGCCTGGACCGGAATGCCAATTCATCGCAGGACACACACAGACACAATCAGGGCACACAATCACAGCAGGGCCACTTTTCCCCATAACTATGTAACATGTAATAAATCAATGCATTTATTTTCTTAGTTAAACATACAGTATATATTGCAGGACAGGGATGTTATGGGGGTGTTCTTTGTACTCTCTATATGGGACATGAGATTTACTACCTGATTGAAAATAAAACTTGATGCTGGATCATATGCTGTATCATATGGGATTTAATCCCGACAATAGAATATTTTTAGGAGATTTAACAGTTTGTTACTCCAATGGTTCACTTTTATTATAGGAGCAGTGATCTCTAAAACACTTTAGGGCACAAAAGTTATTATGCATGTTACAATCATGCAGTTAATAAAATAATTAGACCAATTATGGCAGTGAGAGACTCTCGGCCCTGCAGGAGTCGATTCTGTTTTTAAAGAATGAGATTGTGAGTAATCTTCCTTGTTCAGGGAGACAACAGCAGAGAGAATGAGACAGAGAAGAATAATTTCTGTTGCAATTAAACCCAAAGCTGTTTCTGCCCTGGACGGGCTATCAATGGGGTCACTGTCACTGCCCAAAGAGGCCCAGAGGCATTTCATGGTATCCTGGAGATAGATTTGTTTGTTTTAATTAATATTTTCGCAAACGAAAAATACAACTTGTCTTTAAAATATAACCAGTTAAAATGCATCCCTCCGCATTCGAGCGCCCCCTCCAGTTCCTGTTCGCCAACGGAGGCGCCTCCTTCCTGTGGTCAGGACGCTGAACTGCTCAAACTCGCGATAGTACGTGTGCTATCGCGTAAATGATGCTATCTTGCAATTTAGCACGTCCTGCAAAAGTCATAGAACCAACCCAGCCTCGTTCTGAAAGCAAAGCGTTTTAATAATACTGTTGTGAATTGTAATAACAATATAGTTGTTCATACTCCTTACAAGTCTACAGCCTCACCAGTCCACCGCTAAAAATACATTTTTAACGTCTGAGGCGCAGCGACTGTGCAGTTTATAGAAAACGGATCAAGTACGTGCGGTTAATCTCTGAGGAACTGAGGACCTGACAGCATTTTTATAGCGTCTGACGTCTTGCAGCCCTGTACAACAAAATATCTTGTCTAAAGTGACAAGTTAATCATAAAGTTTACGTTCAACTAATTTAGGTTGCATCACCTGATGAAAAGGGCAAGTAATAATAATAATAATTATTTACAATTATTTAGCGCTTTTCTGGACACTCCACTCAAAGCGCTTTACAGGTAATGGGGACTCCCCTCCACCACCACCACCAATGTGCAGCCCCACCTGGATGATGCAACGGCAGCCATAGTGCACCAGTACGCTCATCAGCTATCAGTGGGGAGGAGAGCAGAGTGATGAAGCCAGTTCATAGCTGTGGATTATTAGAAGGCCATGATTGGTAAAAAACGGGGAAATTTGGCCTGGACGCCGGAATAACACCACTACTCATTTCTAGAAACACTCTGTGATTTATTAATGACCACACAGAGTCAGAACCTCACTTTTACAACTCATCCGAAGGACAGCACCTGTTTTACGGTACCCCATCACTACACTGGGGCATTAGGACCCACACAGACAGCAGGGTGAGCACCCTCTACTGGCCTCTATTCCAGAGGCACCCTTAGCTTTCCCAGGAGGTCTCCCATCCTAGCCAGTTGTGAGTTGGACTGCCAGCCTGAGAGTTGCAGGGTGATATAGCTGCTGGCACAAGTGTTAAAAATTGTTCATTTTAACTTTTTAAAATAATATTAGACAGACTAAATCACAACAATATTAGCACAATTTTGTTCTCACAACACATCAATAGCTCTAATTTCATTACTATTGTGACAGGCAGAATTTAAAAAGTGGTGAAGATTTGCTATCGGTCAAAAACTAAAGCAGTAGATATGTTGTTTTTATATGTCACCCTGAGCCTCTTGAGTGGATGTAACCACTGATACAGATGATGTATGTTACGAAATTTTTTTTCAACCAAGGTAATGCATCTAGTATTAAGTCTGCAAACGCAGAATCCCCGCCGGGCACGTCTTGCGTTTGACAATGGACAACGTCAAGCACAAAGGCCTGCAATTGTATTTTTATTAATTGTGTGAATTCACGCCACAAGGCTCGCTGCACCCCGCCAGCCGTCTCCTCTCAAGTCTGGTTCAGGCAGGGAAGACGCCCGCAGCCCGCACATGGGGCTCCGCTATATTGACCTCATTTCCTCCGCGCTGCTGTGTTGTGCTTCCTGGCGGAGGGAGGGGACGGTGCTGACGGCTGGGAGGGCAGACGGAGTGGAGAGAAAGCTTCGCTAAAGAAAGATAAGGAAAGAAGGAAAAAAAGCCACAGATTTTTCAACCGTCCCTCGGCTTTTACGATTTCACAACTGACGCCTCATCGATTCAGGTCAAATGTCGTCCAGTCGTCAGCACAGTGAAAGCCGGGCCATCCCGACCAGGACGGTTCTGATCAACGACACAACGCAGCTACCTCACGATTATTGCACCACCCCTGGGGGCACATTATTCTCCACTACACCAGGAGGTAATAAGATCTTATAAGTCATTCTGAATGTGCATTACAACGTCATGCATTCGGGACTTGCTCTCCTCTGAAGTCCACAGCGTGCAAAAGGGGTAAAACGGCGGAAAGCAAAAACAGTCCTCTCGCACCGCCTCTATGCAGCTTGGATGGGTCCCGCTGGTTGTGATAAAGAAGTTTTTAAAATATATGTAAATAGCAGGGCATTTCGAAACGATAAGTCTGATTTAGGGGTTTTTCGTTTTTGGTCGTGCAAACATAGTTGGTGTACTGGTACGTACGATGCCCCCCCCCCGAGTGTGTGTGGGGAAAAGTCGCGTTTTTGTTCACAAAATGTTGGGATTGTTTTTCTGCGTTTGGTGTCACTTCCTCCCTGCTTGTTATGTAATGCGGTCTCCCAGTTACGTTGCAAAGTAAGTCAAATGTTCGGAGCCGTGTTCTTAGACCGAGTCACAGCTGGTGGCTGCTGTACGGAGCATTTCACTTTTTATTGCTTTTCATTTAAAATCGAAAATGCACGATTTCTTTAAAAACATGTCAGGTGCTCTAGCTTGGGTATTACCTTGCTTGCTGTGTGCGGTTGAAAGGTCTTGACGCGAAGCAGTGGCGCTCCAGCTTGAGAGCTCGGTAGGTGAAATGTGTATTCGGTACTCTTGAAGTCCTCTGCAGTTTTGGAAATCTATTGAGAAATCAGTCGTCGTGTGTCAGGAGGGAATAACGAACGAAACGGGTGTATTATTGTTACAGCCTCAAATAAGAGTGGAAACTGTTATTTGACAGAGCATCAGATAAATCAGTTTCCGTCAAAGCAAAGTATTTGAGCATTTTCTACGGAGGGGGAGATGCGTATCAGACTTTATTACATTTTGGAACAAGTAATAGGTTTATTCCATGCTGAAAAAAAAAGAGGAAAGAAAAAACAAACGTTTCGGCCGTGGAGCCTGCTTCAGGTTCTACAGGTTCCTCACACCTGAAGAAGGCTCCACGGCCGAAACGTTGTGTTTTCTTTCCTCCTTTTTTTTTCAGCATGGAATAAACCTATTACTTGTTCCTTTGCAGCCTATGCATGCTGACGCAACTCCCCACCTGATTTGTTACATTTTACTTGGCTGCTCGGTGACAAAAACAAATATAAATGCGTTAGTTTCCCTCACTTATTATGTCTTGCCATTTATTTAGGTACCCGGATCATTTATGACCGCAAGTTCCTGTTAGATCGGCGCAATTCCCCTATTGCCCAGACCCCACCAGCCCACCTCCCCGACATCCCTGGCGTGACCAGCCTGAACACCATGAACGAAAATAAAAAGAATGAAATGAACAATGCGAATAACCACGAAGGCAAGGCTGTCATCGGTGAGTGGTTTTGTTGAACTTTGCAGCCTTGGAGCCGGGTGTCAAGATATTACAACGGGATAAAGTTGAACAGGGACAAGTCTATGTCTGGGACAGCGGCTCCCTCTGTAAAAAAGCCCTCCTCCCTAAGATTATTTCTAGAGTCCAGAGATCACGGGTACAATCCAGGCCTTTCCTGATGTAGGGTGGATTCACAGTGGTGTTAAACGTGCTGGGCATATGTGGGTGAGGCTGAAGTTGTGAAGTTGATGCCTGAGGCCATGACCTTCAAATTAATTCTCACCTCCGTAACGCCCACTCCCAGTCACCTGCGGCAGTGCCTGTTGCGGTCTGTGACCTGATTGCTAGGCATCAGATTTTGTCATAAAAGTAAACGGATGTGAGCAGCCTGCAGTAGACAGACAACAAGAGAACTGGGAAAACCGGAAACCAAATAGAATCTCCCTAAACGTATTTCCCCTCAAACTAAACCCACTAACAAAGTCACCCCCTCCAGCTTGTTTGAATGTAAATACAATATGTATATATTTAGCAGATGCCTTTATCTGAGGCAGTTTACATAAAATAATCACAGCTTCTGAAATTAATTATTACTGTTTCATGGGTGCCTGTGTGTGTAACTGATACTTAGTGCCTTAAGTAGAGTAATAATTGATTTCATTGTTTGCAAAATAAGAAATTTAGTTCAATTGTCCATGCACGTTTTTTTAAACTCACACATATGTTCATCCATCTATATTCAGTCTGCTAGTTCAGGTCACACGTGTAGCACACCTGTGTACAGATTTGCTCTAAATTCAGTTTTACTAGGTTCTCCCAGAAAGCTGTACTCCACATAAAAAAATAATAGGGGGACATAACATACTGGCCAATCCTTGTAATTACAATCACAGTTCAAGATACTGTAACGTGTTCAAACTGAAAGGACGCGAGCTGTGTCCTGATAGCTGTTGCATGCTCATTTGAAAACCTAAAGCACTTTGAGATGATTGCTTTTAATGTTGCCTTATTAAACTGTTATTGTTGAGTAAGCGTGCAAATGGGCTTTGTAAGAAAGATTTTAAATTACTCTTGTTGTGGAATTAAGGATAATCATTTCCAACCTAATGATCATGACTAATTTTTTCAGATGAAAATTTTCACTGTTTGCAACTGATATGCTGAAACTCAATACTCTCCTGCATTCGCTGAACCTCATGTAAGAGAAATCAAATCATTCTTTAAGTCATTGTTTTTTTTACTTCATTTTAGGCGATGACGCTCAGTTTGAAATGGACATCTGATATGGACGTATCAAGCTGAAGATGGTGACATCACCTGATGCCTGTGTGCCTGTGGCTTGGCTTGTAGAAACTAAGCTGTGAGCCTTCACAGCTGTCCCGTTAAACCATCCCTCTCTTATAGCTGCTGAGTGCAAAACAAATTGAATGATGGGATAAACCTATAATTATTTATGTCCAAACATGAAATCTAATGCATAATATTGGGCTGTGCCATCCAGTTATATTCAAGAATCTGTAATGGAAAGTGATTCACCTCTTAAGAGAGGAGTTCCCTAATCTCAATTGGTAACTGTCCCTTTAAGATATGCAAATCCAACTCGGCCACACATAACACAGAAAATTAGACGAATCAAAACACTATAAATTCATGCTGAAATGAAGCAATAAGAGGAGTTCTTACTTACCGCTGTTTCCTGATCAGAGATTTCTATAAAACCTAAATTTGTTTGTCAATATTGCCTTAGTCACACTATTCTGCAACATTGCTGATTGCTCCAATTCTAAATGTCTGCTCTTGTAGCTTTGGAACAAAAGGCTGATGGTGGGTTCAGCCCAATGGATTTGTGACTCCAGAGCCAGCTCATTCAGCCTTTCATTACTCCTGAAACCCATTGCTGAATGGGCTGTTTGGAACCCTGTGATCTGTGAACTGGGAGCGCATGTTTTCCTGGAAATATCCAGGCTGCTTATTTTATTGGATTTGTTTTTTCTGGCAACATCTGCCGTTTCAGTTATAGTAGTTTCCTTTCAGCTTGAAATTGAGCAAAAGTTACGTTGGGATAATTTCAGATTCTTATCTGGTTCTAGATAGTACACCTCCTAGCTCACAAAACTGAAAGTGGGAAATAGTGCAATAGTCTTTTAGTTTCAAGGGAGGCAGTGAAATACATTGATGTCCCAAGACCACAACTTCAACACGTTACCGAAAACAAGCTAGACAGGCTTTTGTTTTTTGTTAATTTGAAATGTTAAAAGATTTCACCAAATTGCTCTCTATGGTACTGTTGTCTAGGCAATAATACTGGTGACAGATTGTTCCAAAATATAACAAGCTATTGATTCTGCCAGCAGCACTGTATCGGTAATAGTTCAGCATAGGAAGAGCTGGATACTAAGTAGTGTTCCTTTCTATTCTAGAGCAAAGAAAACAACAAGGATTTAGAGGAAGAGAATCTTTGTGAATATTTGAAACCTTGAAAGACCTTACGTAAGCTTTTTTATTTCTAAAGTAGGCAGAGTGGACGCTTGGCTTGAAATAAAAGACTACATGTTGTCTCTTGGGGAAAATCCGTAGGAGGACATGAGTTTTTGCAGGGAATCATGTCTTAACTGTTGACCCTGGTTTGATTTGTTTTTTTTTTTGTGTAAGTGTTTTGGTGCGGTCGCGGGGGGCTTTATATGTCTTAGTGACCGGTGTGAAGGGAGATGGATGAGTTGACATCTTAATTCTGAAGTTTTGTGTAAAAGTGAAGAATGTGAGAAGGGATGACATAGATGTTCTCAAGATGCACTTTTTCAGATCTTCTTCTGTGGATGAATACACAGACAAATCTGACTGATTACAATCTAGTTAAGAAAACACTTAATTGTTTCTTGGAAAACAGGCAGGTCTATGCCACAGCTTCACCCAACCCTTGTTTATTTTTAGATCCACAAAAGTCTTTCAAAGAAAGTATTTTTGCGCATCTTAAGACCCAGTGTGATGTCAAGAATTCTGTATGTGGCAGTATGTTAGATCCAACTTGTGGCACCTTTGGTAACAATCAAATGTGTTTAATTGTCTACCTGACATGTAAATTCTCCAGATTTAAGTGTTTTCTTAGAAGTCTGAAAACTTGAAACTTTTTTTTTATATGTATACATTTTGTTCGATCACCTCTACTGTTTTTGTTACATTTTGGTACAAGAAAAGCATTAATCTTATTGTCTAGTCTCAAAACCATGAAAAGGTGAAAAAAGTGAAAAACTATCCGAACAAGGAGAATTATGGGTATAGAATGTTTTTTTTTTCCTACAAAAGATTAAAAATGGGAGATTCAATCCTAGGGCGCAAGAAAATGAAGAAGGAAGGGGATTTGTGAATAAAAAATAACGTTTGGAAATAATCTGTGAAATGTTTCTAAATGGCTCACAGTAGTGCCTGTTTAACCTCATATTTTATGTTTTTGTTGTTAGGTTTTATCTTTTAATTCCCTGTACTGAATCAGTGTGTCCAATGCCTTATGTCACACAGCTCAGCTAAAAGGCCACTACTGACGTAGCAATGTAGACACTTTTCAATATGAACTTAAAATACTGTTTCTGGTCATAAATTCCAGTTTTGTTTTATTTCTATTTTTAATTTATATATTTTTAAAAGAGCTATCAAAGGGTTTTTAGTTTTATTCTGACATTTAAAGAGCCATTTACAGAATTTGAGGATATCCTCCCCTTTCATCACTGTACAGCCAGAATTTGTTTTAGAAATCCAATTGTAATAAAGTACGTTACTGATACCTCGACCAAAACAATTTAATTTTGTGTTTTGACTATGTTTTTTTTTTTGTTATTTACATATACTTGCAATGAACAAAAATTGGCTATGCAGCAAAATAATGTAAAATCACTGAAGGTCAGTTTACACCTTGGTGGTACAGCCGCAGTATGGAAACATTGAATTATTTGTGAAATGTTGTGTGACCCTGCCCCAACCCACCAAATTTATTGTGACTTTTTATGCAAAGCACACTTAAGGAAAAAAAAGTGGAAACCAGCTTTAAGCTGTTGGGGGTAAATCAACTTTTTTTTACAGGATGGAGCCAATGGGAAAGGTTTCTGAAAACAAAAGCTCCATATGACTTTTTTGTTGTTGATCCAAACGCTTTGTAAAAATCTGTATTAAGGAATTGCCAATGCCAGTGGACACCGATATAACAGGATCAATAAAATTCCTTAGTGACAAAGATGTCAAGGCTGCTGTTTTGTTTCTTGGATCTGTTGGTATTTTGAGATTTTGCAGTCTGACACTTATTACTTAACTTTTATGCACTGAGGTATTTGAAAGTAAAAAGGTGAAACCCAGTAAGACTTAAAATGAGGATGGAGTTTCAAAGTGAACTGTGCCGAGCAAATGTGGGCTGTACACTCCACAATCATCACGCTTTGGAAAGATGGTGCTGTGTTGTGTGTGCTTGATTGGAATAAAAAATGGGTTGTGAGACAAAAACAAAATCAAACCATGATTAAACGTGCATCAATTCAGAGCCTGAATTATTAAATTATTAAAAGTAAATTATACTTAATTATCTGCATTAAGCATTGTCTTAAATCATTACACAGGGGTGTTTATTTTGCGTGTGAAACAAAACAAAACTAAGATTTCAGGGCAAGTCCGTTCATTAAACGGATTTCCTTTATTTAAGAAAAAATAAGCAATAAATAAAGTTAATATAAATACCTAACTTTAGTTATTACAATATTTACAAAAATATGACATATTTTATACAGTATTACTCGTGTGACTGAGCACTCTGAATATTGCTTATCTGATCAGTGATACATTATTTAAATGGGTAAGACCACTTCACACCTGTAAAAAGTATTTAATTATACTTAGTATCTGCTTTTCTCCAATTCCAGGTATGTATGAATACTGAGCTTTTCTTCCCAATATAAACCACCTCTTCTCCACCCGGTCTCACAGCCTCCCCTCACTCCCACCCCCGTTTACAATACAGGAACAACAGATTCCTACAGCCCCAGGTGAAGATGAACAGCACCTTCGCATTCCGAGCTGTTTTTACGATCTGATTTCTTCTCCGCGCCAGAGGTGTTTCCGTTGAACCTGCTTGCTGCGCGCAGTGTCTTGTTACTTCCTGGTATCATCAAAATGATACAATTCCGTCTTGAAAAGCCGAAAGCGTACGTTAGTACCGTTTTCAGACATGAACGCCCATGAATGTAAGGATGTTCTTTCATCATTCTTGACTGATCAGGCCCTTGAAGTCCAGGAAAAGACGAGAGTTTCAGCGGCAGCCGCATTCGTCCACTATCATTCCTTCGTGGTGGCGCAGAACTATTCGGTCTTCGTCGAAATACAGCATGCTCAGCGGGCTCGTCTTGATGGGGACACAACAGGTCGAGGGCACTTGATCGGGGTTATACAATTTCACCAGACTCTGGGGGGGTTGGAAGAAAGGGAAAAACACCTGTGTTAAAGCCGACGTTCAGCTGTTTCATCACAGACTAGCTGTTGTGGAGCTACGACAGAGTAATCAATAAGACAATAGAAAGTTCATGATAATTGGTACTCAGCTATGTGTAATAAGCATGAATAATTTCGTAAGGAAATTAAACTTTTTTCAAAAATAACAACCCCGTTTTGCTTATAAACTGTATTTTAAATATATTTTTACATTTGAGAAATTTTGACTTTGCATGCTGTAGTAAGGGAGGTGACTGTGGTCAGAAGCCTTTCATCAGCACGTTCTCCAGCCTCTGCTTTTGACGTGGCGACATGATTTCCCACTCACTTTAATAAAGATGCACAAACAGCAAGGGATGCTTAACTTTAAAGACTTTTTTTTCTCCCCAAATTCCCAAGTTTCACGATTTCACTCTCAAATAGGTCTTACCTGCATGTACGCGTGATTTGTAGGCTTGAATTGTTCCCCAAGTGGATATGGGCATTCCCCCTCACAGCGGTAAGCATTGTATCTCTTAGGATACACAATCCAGGATGCCCATCCAACGTGGCTGAAATCCACGTGCAAGTCCACCCTCCGGCAAAGGGATTTGGCCTTGAGGTCTTGTTGCCTCCTGTTGCGCTTTGCCTTGATGGGATTTCCAGTTTCTTGGCTTTCGTGACTAAAGACAAACCCAGAGTGTTCGGCTGCTAGGAGCAGGCTGGCCTTATCCTGAAGGCCACTGCCCGGCTTCACTTTTGTGAATACAACCAGCAAAGCCCTACCGTTTAAACCCTGATCCTTCGAGCTGTTGCTCGGTGGCAGATCTCTTCTGGGCAGGGACGGCTCTTTCTCCAGCTTCCGGTTCAGAGAGGACAGATTTTCCTTCAGCCAGTCACCTAGCAAATTTGTAATGTTGTAGATTTTCCAGTTGGGGTTAGAGGCCACAAAGGACGACGCAGAAAAGAGCCCCACCAGCTGCCGGGAGTAGCAGGTCCCATTCGGGCACGGGAACTCGTGGGCGTGCCGCACCTCCACTGTGGAAGTGCTCAGGTTCAGGAACCTGGGGAACCTGATCCTCAGCTCAGCCATCTGGAGCTCCTCATTGGTCAGAAAGGTGGAGAGGTCAAAGGTCACCACCCAGCGACTGCCTTTCCGTGCAAAACCTGTCCACATAAAAGACAAATTCAAATAAAACAATGTTGCTAAATACGTTGAATATGTAGGTTCACCCCGAGGAGAGCCCAGGGTAGACCCATAATATATATATGTCCATTTCTATAGCTATTGCAATCACATACCTAAACAAATCATTCCAAACCTAACACCATCACCACCCATGCCGTCTTTCATGATCATTGGTACAGAATATAAAATATCAGAAATCCAGGGTAGTTTCTGACACTGATTGTGTCATATCACATTTAAAGGAATGCTTTAAGAAATCAGAATAAAATGAATTGTAATTATCCTTAGCCATATATCAGTACTGCGTACTGTATATCATATGGGGTTGTAAGCAGACAGTGAAAAGGGAAACAGAAAGATATTAAAACTACCAACCACAAAAATATCTAATTGTTTTACAGGGCCTTCTAGTAACCTTAAATTTGAAATGTTAGGATTATTGCACATTTTTCAATTATAAGCAGGCCACTGGATCACGTGATGCGTAAACTGTGAAAGAGTACAAACTGTAGCAGCTTTCCTATTTACACTACTTAAAATTATACATTCACCTCTGTGTTTCTAGAAATACAGCAGAAAATCAAATCTAAAATTTAAGACAAAAATATTTTGACATTAGTATTGTGTAATATGTAAACACTTTAAGTGTTCTCTGAAAGGTTCTATTATATATAGTAGTACTTTCCATTCTATACTACTCGAACTGCTCAAAAACCAAGTGAAGACATCCCTTTTCAACCTAGCAGCATGCAGTTGTCTGGTATCTCCAGTCGTGTGATGTGAACGTATGTACAGCAAATCTGTTTCTCATCTTGATCTTTAATATTATTTTATTTTTAAAGCATATCCTTACACTTTATATAGGGCAATATTTTTGAGAGTAATCCTCGAATGATCTCCGAGAAGTATCTCGACATTTTACTACTTAATGTAGCTAATGTAGACCAAACTCCGTGAGATATCTTAATAATAACTCACCTCCTTCAACTGTAGTAAATGAACTCATTGAAAACACCAGACAGACACTTTTATGGAAGCACGTGTACTTGTTTCCTTAACAATATACATTTTCCAAAGGGGGAGTATAAACTAAGCATCCAAATAAAAAACAAGTGCAAATACTGTCCAGTTGTCCACAGCGTCTAGTCACTAAGAAGTGTGATTACGCTGGCGTAACTTCTTCACATGTCAAAGTTAATGAAAAGGAAACTGTCGACAGTTCAAAGTAGGTTCTAAGTAGGTTGTGGAGTGTAACGGGATTGCATTTTCCCACAGCCTCATATATAAATACATTGTTTTTGTTTTTTAATTTGTATAATTATTTTCTCATAACAATCAATTACACTCTACACATTTTGAATGAAAACTGTGGTTGTCAGATGCTAAACGAATTGTAAAAAGGTGAGAACAGTTTTACATTAACCACTGCCAAATAAAAAAACGCTGCCATCAAATCGTTTAACTGATGTTTCTACAGTTACGATGATAAATTCCGACAGCGATAGCGACACCATTAAGCCTCTTATTATGTGATTTGTCTGTTTACATTAAAACTTCTTAAGATTAAAATCTAAAATGCCCGACATTGTATAGATACTAGTGCATGAAAAGACATTCATAGCTGTTAAGAATTCTACACTGGAATTATGTCCTTTTGAACATCAGTATTTTAGGGAATGCTGCTTAGCGTTATACAAACAGGTTATTACTCCGATGTATGTTAATTCTGTTTAAAAAAAACACCCCCCGGACATTATTGGAATTGCCCATTTATGCAATTGACCTATCTTTCTTAATGATTTTGAAATAGTTGAACGCACTCAAACAAGAGAGGATTACAATAACTCAGTAACCAAAAACCAATAAGTAATTCAGTAACCAAAACGTTAAAGCTTTCACATCAATCCTGCCATGTAACAGTTGCACAACTTTGCCTCACAAGCACCCTCTTCATCTGCCCTGTTTGCATGCAGCAGTGATGCTGAAGTGTACGTTTGATTAGCCCAGGCGGATACAAGGAGCAACAGGTTAAAAGAGCAGGGAGGCTAAAGAGCGAGTAGCGATTTAATCTGATCAAGAGACGTGTGAAACGAAACCAAGGAAAGATGTTTTCTGCCGCAACTGATCTGTATAGGGATGTCTGGCAAAGACGGCCAATCAACATCATCAAATTAAGAGGCCTGCCTTGAAAAGATCCTTTTCACACAGTGCTCCCCGGCAGGGTTAATTCATCCAGAGAAATGAATGTGGATTGAAACTTTGTGAGATGTCTGGCACAGAGATTTGACAGCCGACCACACCATAAGCTCCACCGTGCAGTTCTGCACAAAGGTCAGCAGAAAACTCCCCCCCTACTTTTCCATCTAACGTTTTAATGAATTCTCTGTCACTATTAAAAGAAATGGAAAGGCACTTTAAACATCAAAGGATAGCAGGGATAATAATACGACACATCTTCTGTAAAGTCAATACAAACCGAGCATAATAATTCGTTTTACGATTTAGTCTTTGTTATTATGATAAACACTCATGATCGGCAGTTAACCTTTATGTAATTGCATTAATAAAAATCAGATGGGAAACGCGTACTACACAGATACCCTGCATGCATACGAACTAATAACATTTGCATAAAAACAAACATGTTAAATAAAGCACTGGGAAGAAGAGCTTACGCTTGGGAAGAATGCTTTTGACGGAGTCGGCTTCATTAGCTAGCCGCTCTTCCAAGGTGGCGTTGCCGGATTGGACTCTCCTGTAGAGCTGCCTCATGAAGGAAGCGGGCAGGTGGAGTCCAGCCGGTGGATACTTGTACGTCGCTGCTGGTGTCGGCTGGTGGTCCCCGGATCTGAGGGCGTCTAGTGCCGCCGAGAAGAGCAGCGAAGAACATAGCAGAACACTTGACGCCTTGAGTAAATACATGTTGAACCCGAATTGGTTAATGACAGTTTACCTGGTAGGGGAGGCAGGTTGCCTTTTAAATCCATCCTCCCTCCCAGTAATACATATTTATGAAGGAGCGGTGGACCTGGACATGCCCACTCAGCGGTCTTTAGACTACATTGTTCAGGGCCTTTATGTTGATAATGAAGTTCCATTATTCTCACCCGACCTTCCCCTTGAGTGGCAGAGACACTTTTTGTAAGAGAACAAGTGTCGTGCTCATTGTTCCATGTACTTCGGTAAATCTTTAACATTCATCTTACTTTTCCTCTTTATTATAAATAATATTTTGTATCGTGATTTTATCATAGTACAGACTGTATGACGGCAAACTAATGCGTATGTAACGCGACCGACATGAATGGAATTATTTTATTATATATTCCACACACAATGCACCCTTGAAATCCACGAGCTATCCATTCATTAATAAAAGATTGCTGTGAAAAAATGATTTTACTTGATTTAGGAAAAAACATGTTAACAAAGAATAGAAGACGTATACTTTGGACACAAAGCCTCAAGACACGAACCGTACACATTTAGTATTTTGGTGAAAGAATATTGTTCATCCAGAATTTGTCAAAACAGTCAGGATACCTGTCGCAACGTAAAAAATGTCTTGTGGATCTCTCTGGAAAGAGTTGTCATATACTCCTGTGAGCAAGCAGGTGACAATACCCACAGAAGCAACGTGCTCCATTACTTAGTAGATTTGTTGTCTTTTCAGGTTTATGACTTATTACAGATCTTGCAAAGAGTGAATACTAATTTTATTACAAGAGCTACCGAAATCAATCAATCCAAGTTACATGCGATGGCGAAAACAATTGATGCAGTGTTTCACGCTCTTTCCCCGTCCTCCTCCAATGAAAACCCATGGGTATCCTTAAACTGGCCACTGAATGGCCTAAATCGATTTTAAGCCACTACCAGTTCGCGTTGTCTGGTATAGAAACAAAACTGTGCAGTATGGGTGGTTGCGGTCACACTTGAAGACTTGACAAAAATATAAAACCGCACAAAACAGAGCTGAGTTCAATGTATTCATATTTAAGAAAAAAAAACTAAAAAAGTTATTCCCTCCTCGGTTGTGCGCATGCTCAAGGGGGCGCCTGTGGCGTCTGCCTAGAGTATTTTGCCACAAAAGATCACCGGAGTCTAAGTGGGAGATGAACGAAAATATATGAATAATAACATTCCTATTAGGAAAAGACTAACGAAGACTCAGAAATTCTCATTTTAAGAACACCAGCCTTGCGAAACCATTGGGATATAGAGGTAGCGTTTATGGAACACCAACTGCATGGTAAGTGAAGTCATAGGAATGTACTTCAACAGCCTGCGATGCAATCTCAGGAATACAAAATCGCAGTTTCTGTCTTATTTACTCTAGAAAATGCCGAAATAAATGTTCTGATCCAGAGTAATGTTGTGTAGGTTTACAGTTCTGGTCGTGTTTCGGATCACCAGTGAATCTACAGTGTATGGAATTAAGTACTAGCTTCTGATGCTGAGACAAACTGGTGTTCATCTGGTATTCTGTTTGTGTTGAAAGAGTTAGAATGTGTTGTTTTGTTATCCACAGGAGAAACTCATATTATTTTGAAAATTAGCGCAACACTCTTAAATATAACAACTCAGAAGTCGTGTTGCGCACGCAAATAATGATTTTTAAAAATTAGACAGTAGTGATGATATATAATAATGAAAGAAAACAGCATTACGTAAAAAACACGGAATGCGCGGCATTTGTTATTGGTTTTGTTTTAAAAATACATTTTGATGTATGCGAAGATCACGCACAAAGACGCAGCGTATTGTAATTGTAAAGCGTCATTTATCAACAGTTGTGGAGGTAGAAGAATACCAAGCCTTTGTATATTAGCTTATTAATGTGAAATGTCAGTAAAATATTATATTATACAGTACCATAACTTAGAGGATACACTAAGGATAAAAAAAGGTGACTGAAAATGGATGGAGGCGTGTTTAACATTTGGCAGAGAAGTTTTTCAGAGCATTCAGGCTTTGCTGAGACACACAAAAACAAATCGCAAACATTTATTTGGAACACGTGACGCACGCTTTTCAATATACTGACCTCAGTTCATTTTAGAAATGTATGATTTCAGAAACATGCCTGACGTCATTTAGACCATTGGCACAAATTTTCGTGATTCTTCACTTCTCATTCAGTCCTGAATAACGAACCGGATCATTTGACTTTTGTATAGCTAGATTATGCAAAGTGGAAGGCACAAAGGTAAGCAAGATGATTAACAGGTGACAGCAGGCACTTCAGGTTGATCTTCAGCATTAATGCTTTGAACATCCTTTGAACTACAGAAGCCTTTTAAATAAAAAAGAAGTTGCTCCCCTCTTTCCACATGCTCTTAAAACGGATGTAAATAAAAACATGCACTGTCTGCAATAGGAAAACTATATTCATTCCATTTAACACATTTTCAGTTCAGTTTTACATCTTCCTCATATACTGAAGGAACACAAGGAAATGGGATTTGGGAAGAATATTTAATAGAGTATTTCCCTTTTTCTATTTCATTGCACTTCTTTGAGAGTAAGTGGTTTAAAATGCAAGATATTTCCTATACAAGGGATTTTTTTTAGTTTGTATCTTAAACCAGTGTCCCTCAGAGAAAAAACAAAACAAAGACAGTTTGATCTCAAAGAAAAACTACATTTATTTTTAGTTTTTCCACTGTTAAACTAATAACCATACAATAAAACATTTAAGGTTCTTCAGATACATAGCGTTGTGTGTTTGTAATTTGGTCTGTTTATCTGTGGTTTTATCCTTCCATGGAGCAGCAGGTGACCCATTTTGCCTGCTGATGTGGAGATAAAAGAATGTCGTCTTTTCTTTGCATTAATTATTAATTGGGACTAATTAGTACAGTATTCCCGAAATGACAGAGACGTGCCCTTTCTAAATCCATTTGAATCCATGTTGACTATCCAAGTCCATGTGGACCTTATTTGTAAATAGATGATTCTCTAGTTCTAATTGTTGTAACAGGAGTGAGGTTTATGATCTGATTTATTCATAAGATGAGATACAATTACTTTTGGATGACTTTTTATGGTGGGCGCCACAGCGTCAGTTCTTCACGGAGTAGTTCTTACCCTTGTCTTCGGCAACTGGAATCCATGCAGGAGAAAACACAGGTTCATGTATTTTCTTTTTATGTTGAGGTGAAACGGTCACAAACCTCCCATCCGTGGGGCCAGTCTGCCTCAAATGATACAGTTTCCAGTGCAGGTCCTGGAGGGCAACACAGACCTGTTTTTTTTTTTCCAGCCAAGCTCTTAGTTACACAACCAATCCCTTAATGAATAATAACAAATTAAAAGTGCTTGACTGGTTTCAGCTCCAAACAAGTTCGGAGGTTGCCTTTTATCCGTCACATTCCATAACGGAAATAAAATCACAAACATTTGAGTTGCATGGAGCCAAGGTGCCACTCTTCCAGTCAGGCCCCCTGTCTGTTCAATTAAGTCTTCAATCAAATAGTTTTAACTGAGCTGGAATGAAAACCAGCAGGTGTGGGGGCGCCTACAGGACAAGGATTGGGAGCACGTGCTCATGGAAATGTTGTATCCTGATGGCGGCAGAGGCTCCCAACAATTCCCTGTTCTTGCCCTTGGGTGGGAGTGCTTTTCTGATTGTTGATTAAGGCAATCGTTTTCTATCTCCTCTTCCTGATGGGGTGACAAGCACCCAATTAGTCTTGTACCTGGTGATGGCCACCACGACCGGGAAGTCATATGGATTTGTTTTAGCAGAGCCGTTAAGGTTAATAATCTCGCGCCCTTGATCTTCAGACAAGTGCTCTGCCTCCCCCCCATGATGAAGGGAAGTGTGAAGTGTGGATGCCGCCCAGAAGCTTCTAAAACGTTTTGAACTGCCAGATGGCTAAGAAACGTGACAGGATCTATTTTCAACATATTTACAAGGTACGCGTAAGTCTGAGGAACGGCCACACCCAGTTGAATGTGCAGTCACCGTCAGGTCTGTCTCAACACGCTTGTCTGACGGCCAGTCTCCTGGGCAGAGGATGAGGGGCTGGGGCCCCTGGAGAGAGAGTGGCTGTGCAGGTGGAGGTTTTTTTTTAACTTGGTAAATGAAATCGGGGATAATTATGAGTTTAAGCTGCTGTGGCGAAATTGAACTTGGCCACTGCCATCCCTCCCGAACCTTTGACATGAACATGACGGGAACTCTTATTTATGTTACTGATTTACTGTATGTGTACTGCTTCAAGTAGGGAACTGCGTCAGCATGTGTAGGCTTCAAAAGAACAAGTAAAGGTTTATTTCACGCTGAAAAGAAACACCTGAAGTCACCTGAAGAAGGCTCCACAGCCGAAATGTTGTGTTTCTTCTCTTTTCAGCGTGGAATAAACCTATTATTTGTTCCTATATTTACTACTTTTTTGTATAGGTTTTTATCACATTTTAATTCACAAATGCTGACCAGTCTTGAGGTAAACCTGCCTCTTCCCAGCCTAATCAACATTTATTTACCCTTCAGTGGTTCATCAACGATATGAGTATATTGGGTAGTTGAATAAATCACTAGATGAATAAATGTATTTCTATACATATTTATGCAAGTAAGTATATAATTCATAAATTGCAAAGGAACAAGTACAGGTTTATTTTCTCTTTTCAGCATGGAATAAACCTGTACTTGTTCCTTTGCAGCCTACGCATTCTGACACAGCTACCAACTTGAACTATTAATGCATAAAAAGTTTTTTGGTTAAAACATACACAAACAAAGTACAACTGAAGAGATACAGTGCAAATTACTACACAAAGAACTATCTGAAAGCACTACATACAGCAGACCGTGCCCTGGTGACCCTGCAGCTGTTCAGAGCTGGCAAATCCCCATCACAACAGATTACTATTACAAGTAATTGGGACTGGTCATGGATATCATTTTAAAATGG